ATTGTAAAAGCACTATCCGCAAAAATTCTTTTAATTGACGTCATTCGTTGCAGGTCTGTGAAGATACCAACAGTTTGTCATTAACTACTATCTTCTGTGATGTTAATTTATGAAGTAAGTATACACATTATAAAGACAACATCCTTGAGAATATCCCATATAATTTATGTTCGTATTTTACTTCTAGTTTTGTTTAGAATTAAATACTTTATCAAAAAACCATTCCGCTCGTTATAGGCAGATCACGACCGCCTTCAAATAATTATTTATAGCAAACTAATTACCTTCAAATTTTGAACGAAACTTGTCTAAGATTGTTGACTATAGTTCTAGCTTTGGGATGCACTTATAAAAGTTCATAAATTGTTAACAGAAATGGAGTAAATTGTTAATTTTTCACTGCCGAATCAAGCCACAACGGCACTTGGAAAATTAATAAGTTACACGATTTCTGCGACTAATTTATGAACTTTTATAACTGCATCGCAAAGCTGGATCTTTCGGCAACATTCTTATGTAATTTTCGCACATAATTTGGTGCTAATTAGTTTGTTATAATTAATTACTTGGCGGCACACGGTACTTGACAACGGCGATCGGCACGTATGTCTGTTAAAATAATTAATTATGAACAAAACCAGAAGTAAAATACGTACAAAAATGACATAAGAACATTCCCAAGAATATTGTTTTTATTATGTATCCATGTAATTCATAAATTAATTGCATAAAAAACAGTAATTAATGAAAAGCCGACATCATTTCCGACATCAGTTCGAACAGTCAGAGGAATAATTATTCGTAATTAATTAATCAGGAAGAAATTAATATCAAAAGTTATATTAGAAAGTTCATAAAGGACATGCCTTTACGATGCAAGCATAAAAGTTCATAAATTAATCGCAGAAATTGAGTAATTTGTTAATTTTCCAATGAAAATTCAAATTACATCGGCCAGCGCCATCTATGATTTTGGACTGTCACACAAGCTTCCAGTCTAAAATCATAGTTGGCGGTGATTAACATGTCTAGAATCTTGTATTAAGAACACATAACATGAGAGGAATTCGATACCGGCGGAGTTCCTGGAAATGACGCCATTTCCAAGAATTTATCGGACAAGACATTTGTCGCCCGAGCGAGAAACCTTTGGTCAATTTGACGATTTTGTATCAGGAGAACATAATATGACAGGAGGTCGCTCGTCGAGCCACTTCCAAGAAATGACGCCATTTCCATGAATTCTCGGTCAATACTTTTGCGGCCTACACGGACAATATTTTTACCGTTTTTGGTCAATACCTTTACCGCCTCGGTGGACAAAACTTTTGCCGTTTTTGGTCAATACTTTTACCGCCTCGGTGGACAAAACTTTTGCCGTTCTTGGTCAATACTTTTGCCGTCTCGGTGGACAAAACTTTTGCCGTTTTTGGTCAATACTTTTGCCACCTCGGTGGACAATACTTTTGCCGGTTTTTGGTCAATACTTTCGCCGTCTCGGTGGACAATACATTCGCGGTCTCGAAGAAAAATTTTTGGCCGATTCACCACTTTGTATCAGGATAACATGACATGATAGGAGGTCGCTCGTCGAGACAGTTCCAAGAAATGACGTCATTTCCAAGAATTCTCCGACAATACTGTTGTCGCCCTAACGAGAATTTTTCGGCCAATTTCATGATTTTGTATCAGGAGAATATGACATGATAGGAGGTCGCTCGTCGAGACAGTTCCAAGACATGACGTCATTTCCAAGAATTCTCGAACGATACTTTTGTCGCCCTGGCGAGAATTTTTTGGCCGATTCCGCGACTTTGTATCAGGATAACATGACATGATAGGAGGTCGCTCGTCGAGACAGTTCCAAGAAATGACGTCATTTCCAAGAATTCCCAGACAATACTTTTGCGGCTTTAGCGAGAATTTTTCGGCCGATTTTGCAACTTTGTACTAGGATAACAGAATATAATAGGAGGTCTCTCGCCGACCGATTCCAAGAAATGACGTCACTTCCTAGAATTCTATCGAGGCATATTTCGCAGCGTTTGCATGAATGTACATACTATAGATAGACTACTTACCTTACTTACCTTATTTTCGTTACTTACCTTACTTCCCATAGCTTTTTCTTCTTTCTTCTTTTTTCACATATTATCGTAACAGATATTGCACTCTCTTAATTTTCAAAGTTCGAAGAGAACAATGTGAATTTACAAGAGATAGGAAATATCTTAAACTTTGCGCGTAGCTCTTAGCTTGGTATCGTTCCACAAAAAATTGTTTTTTTGGGAAACGATACCAATTACCAGGTCTCACCACGAGGAGGTGGCTACGCATCGAGACCCGACATGTGCCCTAGTGGCACAGCCTACTGGTGCTATTCGTATCAAAGGTAGCCTGATCTAACTTGGAGCGAATTAAGTTAAAGTGACTCTAATGACACATTATTTTATTTCGTGTCTTACAAAGGGAACTTCGATTCGGTATACTGAAACTCTACTGTCGCAACGCTAAGATATATTCAAGTTCCCATAAAAATAGGAAATGAAATATCAAACACGCGAGCTAATAGAAAATCGCGACGCGCCCGAACGAGTTCGCGATTATTCGAAAGACCGACTAGCCTAGGCGATGTACTCCCGTGTACAGAGATAACTTCATACCTCGGCACCCTCCCGATCGGGCCTAGCTCAATTCCAGTCACTGTCGCACTCGCCAAGACTTACACGTGGACCAAGGATAGTCCCTGAACCAATGAAACTTCTAGTGTCAACAGGAGGGCCCAGCTGGGCGGTTGCCGGCCAAGACAGACACTTCGCATCCCAGCCACACGGGGTAGAACTTAATCATCCCTGTGGTCTAACCGTAGATGGTACTAGTCCGTCAGCCAGCATGTGCCCGAGCCCAAGTCGCGTACGACTTAGGCAGCGGACCGCCCCGTCGAGGTCAGAAGACGCACTGATCCGAGGGGGTCACCCTGGAACCCGATGCATGACGAGATTGACAGTGACTGGAAATGAGTGTCGGAGACGAGTCGTGAGGATGACTTACGAAGCATGTACTTATCGAGTACACGAGAGCACGTCGCGTAGGCTAGTCGGTACTTACGAACGATCGCGATTATCGCGAGAACAATTATGTTCTATTTGCTAAACGAGGGGGATAAGAAAATGATAGAGAATTTATAAATTTCGCTCCAAATTAGGTAGCTTACCTTTGTACAGATAGCGCGCACATGATACTTAGTCTATGGATCTATCTTATGATTACTTAAAAGTAAACGCACGCATCGTTCATTGATGTGTCGCAAACAGAATCTTGAGAAACCTAAAAGCTAAAACAGAATATATTATTGTTAATATGTAGCTGAAAGGAAAGGGATTAGTACGAGGAAACCATCAAGGATAATAACCAAATGGAACGAGCAAGCCAACGACGAGACCTGAGCAACATAACTACGAGACAGAAACATTCCAACGGTGAGATATAAACATACCAACGAGGAAGCGCTCGAGTATTATACGAAATACTCGAACGCTCTAACGAAAACAAATCGAACGGAAGTCGTAAAATTTGCGAATGGAAAGATTTAGCCAACGATGAGACATAAGTAAAAACCAACGACGAGGCATTCGAATATTGTACGAAATACTCGAATGCTGAAACAAAGAGACAAATAGAATGAAAGAAATAAAATCCAGAAGGAGAAAAATAATTAGAACCTGAAAGAAGAAATTATCGTTAAATTATTTAAGAGAGTGGACAAAGGCCACTGGATAGCCATTGATCTAGCCAACGATGATATACAAATAAATCAACGATGAAGCATTCGAATATTGTACAAAATACTCGAATGCACAAACAATGAAATCTAGAATAAAAGAAATAGAATCTGAAAGAAGATAGATAATTAAAACCTGAAACAAAAAATAATTAGTACCTGAAAGAAGAAATTATTGTTAAATTATTTAAGAGAGTGGACAATGGCCACTGAACAGCCATTGATCTAGCCAACGATGATATACAAATGAACCAACGACGAAGCATTCGCATATTGTACAAAACACTCGAATGCACGAACAATGAAACCTAGAATAATAGAAATAGAATCTGAAAGAAGAAAGATAATTAAAACCTGAAACAAAAAGAAAAAATATTAACGCGCACCGCCCGAAGTCGAACCGACAAATGGCTCGAGCCTTCACGCGGGTCCCTTATATAGCGGTGGCCGGCCGGCCGAAGATCGGCGAAAATTTCCGAACTTTACCGATTCCTTTAAAAGTTACTTTTTCGCTGTAATAACTAACAATTTATTAACTTTTTTGACTTTTATCCTTAATATACTTTGCAAACTATTTGCTATCAATGATTTTAATTTGTTATTAACAATAAATTTATTAATTTATTAGCTTTTTGTAAGTTATGAATACATTTTAATACAAATACGTTCTTTGTTTAAGTAATAGCTAATAATTTATTAACTTTTTTTACTTTTATCGTTAATATACGTTGCAAAATATTTGTTATTAACAATAAATGTAGTAATTTATTAACTTTTTGCTAATTATAGATACATTTTCACGCAAATACGTTATATATACTAGTAAAATCCTATAATTTAGTCATTTTTTCACTTGTATTATAAATTTACGTGGTAAACAATTTGTTAATAACGATATTCATTTGTTATAAATAATAAATTTGATAATTTATAAACATGTTTTATAAACCATGACTACATTCATGCTTCCATAGAATACTTCCAACAAGAATTACTCAATTAATATTACAGATTAAAAATCGTATTGAACAGTGTAATCAACATTAATTGCGTTTATTCCTAGTTCTATATTTAACAATATGTTTCTCAATATTTTTTACACAAAACATACTATATGAATCTTAAGCATATCGGCATACAAAATTAAAATGTAGGTACATATTAATATAGACAAAGTAACCCTGAAGCCACTGTGCTATGATCCATAACTTCCCTGTTATTAAAATATGCCAAGAAATTTTCCTGGTGGACAAGCTGGCAATTGACAAGCTTTCTCTTCCATTTCTGTTTCTGCCGTACTGCAATCACGTAAACAATACCGCCATCTTATTTGACGACCTTTACCACAAGTAACACTACAACTACTCCAGTCTGTCCATTTGCCCCATTTGTGATCCGATGTTGGCTCAGTTTCCTTACGAACTGTTCTAGAAGTACTCGATGGCATTTTAGATACACGTCTAACCACTGACCTCTTTTTCTCTACCAAATTTTTAGTTGGTATCTTAAGTTTGTTCTGATTAATCATTTCAACTGGATGCGCTTTCCTCTCGACAATTTTTGTAACAAATCCGAAATTACTGTTTGTTGGGTCACATTTTTGAACAATTTTAGGTGTTTCCCTAAAAACATCACAAGCAGTACTAACATTCGAGCATAAATCATCGATTGCACGTGTTTTAATTCGTTTCTCTTGTTTCTCGCTTCCTGTAGCTTCTTCGATATTTAAATAATTTTGAAGTTCATTTACCTAAAAAAAAACTTATTGTTATGGAAGAATAATTTAGACAAAAATAAAAATATATCATAGTGTATTATTTATTATACCTACTTTTGTTACTAATTTCTTTGCAAGTTCTTTGACTTCTTCAATCGATCTTACTGCCCGATTAACTTCCATTTCATTAACTATTTCAGTTTCATCTTGGTCATCACATTGATCCTCATCAGATCCAGGCTCACGAATGTTCTTATAGTATTTCAGTTCTTCTTCCTTATTTAAAAAGCCATGATTCGATTCGGTATTTTTATTTCTTTTTGTACGCGATTTTGTATCTTGTGATAATGTAATCGGTTTTTCAATTTCCTCAACAATCTCTTGCTCTTCATTTTTTGATACGAGCGAATTTATATCTTCATTTGCCTTCGACTTAGTGTCGACAACGCCACCTGTCGATTGACGAGCGACCAACGGAAATTTTGAGATACCGTCAACGTTTTTTTCCTTACTAGTTGTCTTCAACCTTGAGTGCAACACGGATGCAAAATTTTTTGGCTCAGGATTATTTCCAAAATCTGTTGTATCGATCGATTTTTTTGACTTTACGGATCTACGACGAAAATTGTTGTCATTATTTTTCTTAGCCACTACATTGACAACTCCTACTTTTAATTTACCCTCAGTTTTTGCTTCATTCACTTTTCTCTCGTGAGGCACTCTTAGGTGATCCATATTCTTTGAACGAACATCTTTTATTGACCGCAGAGAATTGTTTGAAACATCGTGTTTCTTTCCGACGTGTTTCTTTTTCTGTCTTAACCTCATTTTCTTCTTATGATGCTTGTTCTTTGTTTTTCTTCTGATTCGTAACAGATCTGCTTTTGTATTAGCAGTAACTAGATTTGATGGATTTTCGTTATGTACCTTTGTGTAGTCGTTTCGTTTTTTTCTAACTAATTCTACTGCAAGCATAGGATCTGGTGAACTTTCAACTTCTGAATGTTCGTATGATTGCCGATTTACAATAGTATTATCATTCGACGGTTCCGGTAACGATTCAATTTCATAATGTTCTGTTTGATCGACAAATCTTATGTTTTCATTTTCTAATGCGTTTACTTTACTGTCGTCAGATGGCAGTTTGATGAAATTAGTATCATCGGATTTATCTTCACTACTGTATGTAGCAATCGTAAATGGATAAACGCTAAGGACTTTCGATTGATCATTCTCATCTGAAAAAGTATCAAACTGTTTGTCATCTATAAAATATTCCTGCGATTTAATTTCTCGTTTCGCGTCGAACGATACATCCGTATCATAAGAATGTTCGTCATTTGAATCATAAGTACTTCGAGGGAAGGAATTAGCCAAATCTTTCAAATAATTTTGTTGATACATAAATGACGAAATAGAGTCTGATCCTAATTTGTTTCTTTTTACCCGTACATGAGGTTTCAAAGAATTCGTATCATCGATATCATTCATGAAAACTGGTTCGTCATAATCTAGTAATGTCTTCCTTTTTCCTCTTTCTTCTTTAGTTTCAAATAATCGTTCAGTAGAATATTTTTCATTATTGAAAGTTGCACATAATGTTCTCCGTTTCCAACTATAGTCAGTTGGATATATTTCATACTTATTTCTTTTTCTAAATTTTGATGTTACGTTATGCAATATTAAATCATCATTTACGTAATTATTAGGTGTAACTTTTAAAGAGATTGGAATTTGTAACTTCCCGGAATATGTTGGAATATTTTTCACTTTATCTTTTAACAGTTTTTGGAATTTTTTAAAATCATTAATTGTGTGTTTTGAATTAGTATTTTCAAATCGATATACTGATAATGAATCATACATACACGTACCATTTAGTAAAATACTTATAAAATCTTGCAAAACTTGGGTAAAACTTGAGAAAAAATGATTCAAATTTTTGAATGATTCACAATTTTGGGAATAACAATGATTGTTATAATGACACGTAGAAAAGTCGGTGTTAATAATATATTTTTCAGTTTCAATGACAGGAACAATTAATAAAAGGATCATAAGAATCCAAGCACTTGTGTAAGTTGAAAATTTCAACATTACACACACTGTTTCCGTTTATGTTATGTAGTTCATTAAAAAATCATATGTTACTATTTAATAAGTTATTATTCGTAAGAACATGTTAAAATGGTTGTTGCTCCAGATTTTTGGTTACTTCAAATTTTCTTACCTTTGCGATTTTACTAATATCGATTAAATTTCGATGAATCGAAAATTTGCATATGATAAACTATCGATATTATATGTGAAGACAAATATATGTTCACTACTACTATAATGCAAATTAAATTGTTATATGAATAAAGTTGTTTAATTAGGAAATTAATATTACAATAAAATATTTATCTATTTTTTTCTTCCCATTTTATAAATAATTTATCGTTTTAAATCATATATGTATATGCTTTATGCATTTTAAATTCACTAATTAATTAATGTTAGTTAGTTAAAACGTAATAAACAATATTTGTCAGTACATGTAGTTTATTCATTCTTAAATTTATTATTTTGAAATTAATATAAATCGATGAAGCATTTCATTCCGTTTCTATTGAAAACAGAGCTTTAATTATTCAGTATCTATCCATATGATACATACATATGATGAAAGTGCGTTTATGTTCGTTGTTATTTTTTTAACATAATATATGATTCATTTTATCTATTTTATGTACATAAAGTAATAAAATGGTGTTCTCTACATTAATACACATATTTTCATTTATTTTAATGGTAAAAATGAAGAATGTTATTACTTAACCTATTAGATGTAAATCGGTATAGACCTAAATGCATAATATTTACAATAATGTTGTATATATATATATATTTTAAATTACTATTCCACATAATATATCTTGATTATAAACGTTTATAGGTAAATGTTGCGTTAGCAGAATTTTCAGCTGATGATTGTAAGAATTTAGGTTTTAATAAAGCTAACTTACTTTGTTCTACCTGTGAAGAATTTAATAAACATGGATTAATAGAAATATTGTAAGTAAATATAAGTGTAAAATATAATTGAATATTTGTTATGATGTTATTATGTCATCCTGTATCAGTAACAAAAGTAATGTTTAACAATTACAGAAATAACTGTAACGAATGTTGTTTGAAAGATAATGATTCTGATGCTTCTGGATTAAGAAGGTATCCACGTGCTATTCTTGAAGTATGCACATGCAAATTTGGTGCATATCCACAGATACAAGGTAAAAACAAATTGATTTTATATTACCTACAATAAATATTTGCTACATACATTTATTCTGTTTTTTATAGCTTTCATAAGAAGTGATCGACACAGTAAATACAAAAATTTACAAATAAAATATGTTAGTGGTTTAGATCCAATAATTAAATTATTGGATGCAGACAACAAAGTTGAAGTTATTCTGGACATACATAAATGGGATACTGATTCAGTTGATGAGTTTTTAGCAACGCACCTTGTTATGGATTAATATTATTGCCGGTAATATTTTATTATGTATCTTAAATGTAAACAAACATATTTCACATGTAGTTTATATTTAAAAATTAACATTTCAAATTATATTAATGTTCTTCTTTATCTTAAGAATCCTTTATCCATAATAATTAAAATATAAATTTGTGATCAAAAACACATCAAAAGAGTATAAAATAAACCGATCTTTATTATGTTTTAGACTATTTATTGTTTTATTCTTTCTACATACTAATACAGAAGAGTCCAATGTTGGAATGAAAAATTGTTTAAATGATTTAAAAGTAGTGTTACTTTTTATTATTTAAGTGCTTTAGTAGACAATCATTATTCTGCATGATTCTTACATAAATAAAAATAATTAATATAAAGAAATTATGAAAGTTACATATCACTTGTTCTTAAGAAATTACGTGGCTATTCAAGCCAATCCTTTATGGACGCAAATTTTATTACAAATTAAATTATTTTATAGTAACTATAAAGGCAAAGTGCGTGTTATTGTGTTGAAATTAGAAATTTCGGCATTTTATAAGGCAATTGTTGAATAACGTGCATCTTTTATGTTCCTTTTGTACAACGCCTTATATGTCACAAAAAATATCATCTTACAATAAAATTCTACTATATTATTACAAAACAAACAAAGTTGTTATGGTATTCCATAGTTATCATGAACTTTGATTACAAGTATTTTGTTACAATTAGGCATAAATTGGATAAAATTTGTATCAATATCTTAATTTTATTGCAAGATATTTTTGGATTTTTCATTAGCATATACCTAGGAATGAATCTTATAATAGTTTCATATTATGGTTATTACTTAAAAAACCATAAACATGTTTTAATTACTTGAATATTCATAGTATTTCTTAATACAGAATAGTTACAAGATAATCAATGTCAATACGCAAAAGCATATCTTTTTATTTCTTTTCCTTACTTCTGAAATCTATTATTTTGTTTAACAATCTGTACGTACTACAGTTCACTGTGTCTGATAGTGTGTAATTAAAAAGTTTTGAATAAGCTTGGGTAAATCAGTTATTAATTTTTTCACGTTTACCTTCGTAACATAAATGATATACGAATAATACTACTACATCCTATTTATACATATAAAAAGGTAGCCATACACATGCGATTATGGTATATATATATATATATTTTTTTTTTTCGTTTTGTCAAAAGATATAACAAGTCAAATTACTTAATCATTGATAGCACAAAAACTAATGAAACCTAACAGTAGACGTTGCACTAAGAGATATAATAATTATAAAATATACCCAAGCTTACTCGAATTTTGGAATAGGGATCACTTTATCGTCGAGCTCTTCGTGCTCGAGGGCTGCCGCGTCCACGTGAAAAACCTCGACCACGCGATGGTTTTATTTGCGGACTTTGATCTCTTTCTAATTTTTGCACGGTTTTTTCAGGCTCAACGTGTTCTTTTTCATCTCCATCGTCGATTAAATTACCTATTTCCGCCTCATTATCATTATCTATATCAGCCCACGTCTTGTCAACTAGCATTTTCTTTTCTTGAGTATTAGCAGCATTTTGCGAAGACTGTTCACTACTATTTTCTGTTTCATGTGTTTCTTCTTCTTCAGATTCTGCATCAGCTTCAAGTGGATCATACTTTTCATCCCCATCAGCTTTCTTCTGAGCATTTGCATTTTCAATATTGTTTTCTTCCACCTCCTTTATTTCGACGTCATTCTCATCATCAGAGTGAGCTATTTTACGACGCTTTGCATTTCCATCGTATTCTTTATCATTTTCTTGAGCATCTTCGCCAGACTGTAAAAATAAAATTTATTCCTTTTTTCCCTTTTTCTTTCTGCTTTATGATATATTATTGCAAATTTTTGTACACGATAAATTATACCTCAGGTTTCTCTGATGATTTTTGTTCTGCAGTCTCCACACTTGAAGTTAAAGTTTTTACTTCTTGTACAAAATTTCGGTAATGTGTGATACTACGTAAATGAGCATTCATATCTTCAACCAAAAACATGAATCTTCTGCATTTTTCACAATAGAATCCTTGAACTTCTTTCACCATAGATTTTCCTGAAACGGGATATATATAAGACTATTTTGTATTTATAAAATACAATAAGAAACAAAATTTACAAATGATTTAAATATTTACCAATGGAAATCTGATTTTGACGACAATATTTATAAGATGGAATTTTAAATTTCTTTTCATTTAGATTCTCAACGATATCTGTAATATACTCTTGTTCTTCTGTAATATCTTCTTCCTTTTCATTTTTGTTATCGGGACCAGCATCTTTTTCTTCGTCTTCGGCAGTACGTACTTCAGATTCTCCCTTTGCAAGTTTTTCTATAAAAATAGAAAGAAAGAAAGAGAAAGAAAGAGAAAGAAAAAAAAGAAATGAAGATAAGAACTAAATAATATTTACTGTTACAATAAATATCTATTAGTATACCTTTCTTTTTATTTTTTCGCTGTTCTTCACACTGTACAGCTTTTTTCATGTGTCCAGGAGTTAAACAATGTTCATCGTATTCAATGCGCGATGGGAATTCTTTTAAACATGGGAAACATCTTGGATGCAAAAATGTTTTTAGTTGCTGATGTTTTTCACTTTTTCTATGCGTAGATAATGTGCCATAGAAATTTAAGTCGCACATTGTACAATATTCACGTACGTTAAGATCCACAGAAACCTAAGCAAAAAAATCAAAATTAATATACAACATCCTATAAGACATGAAATATACATTTATACGTATATAGACCTTTTTTCCACGACGTTTCGAATTGGTTAAACTAAGTTCACGTTGCTCTTCACCTACTCTTAATTCATGCCGCATTAGATCAACTTTTAATTTATACAATTCATCTAACTTTTCCATCATTAACTGGTGGGCTCGTCCTCGTAAATGATTTTCGAATGACTATAAAAAGTAAGAAAAATATTAATATTTCAAACTCAATTTTAACCTAGAATTTATGATACGTATTAAGTACATACATATCCATCCCACATATGCTTATTACAAATATGACAGAACATATGATTCATTGGAACATCTGCATAACGACTTTCAGCGTGTCTAGCTTTTGACTTCATGCCAGCCATTTTTGAATCCTTTTCAGATGTAGATGAATTTGCTTCCTTTGATGTTGATTCATCTGTTGCAGGTTTGTCTGACTTTTGTTCTGAATCATCTTGAGACTTTTCTCCTGTTTCCTCAGTATCAACAACTTGAACATCTTCGTTATCCTTACTTGATTCCTTCCAATCAGCTTTCTTGTCTTCGGGTTCTTCATTTTCTTCACTAGTGTACAAACAAATAAAATTTGTATTATAATCATTAATTTTAATCGAAGTTATCATACTTTTTTAATATATTATAAACATTATATTTCTTTAATATGTGTTTTAGTGAAAACACATGTACACAAATTTTCAATATCAATAACTAGAAAGAAATTGGGCATGATATTAAGTTAAAAGAATATAACTCACACTTCTAATAACTGTATAAGAATTTAATTAACCTATTATTATGAACAAATATTTGGATAATGTGTATTGAAAGAAGAACACATGGGGAACATTTTATATGATTATGAAATACTAGTGTTATGAGATTGTAGGTAATCAAATTTAAATTTGAAATGTGAGTTGAGTTTAATCAACAATGAGGAGTGAACATATAACATGATATGTAGACATATGTATATATATTTATATATATACGTATGTATTTTTTAAAAGTCAGACAAGAGAAAGGATACAATGCTAATTCTTTAGCAATTATGCCATATGTACATAACAAACACTGTACATACAGAGATAGGTGACAGAATGAGACTTACTGAAGTTTGAAGAAACTATTCACAATCACCAGGAGCTTACCTTGTTACAGCAGGTGCTTCTGTTTTTTCATTATCAGAGGTCTTAACGTCCTGCTGTTCCTTTTTGGCAGTCTGATTTTGTTTAGAGGCAGGAATTGGTTTAGAAGATTTATCGTTGTGATGTTGAGTTTGGTTTCCATTCATACGCTGACTGCCAGACTGGGGTGCACGAGATTGTTGTGCAGATGGACCACGTCGCCCAGCAGGGCCATCACGGGCGCGATTGCCCATCTAGTCATGTAGGTCAAATGACCAAACCATCATGAGAAGTATCTGATATAATTGCGATTCTTCTCGAATCGAATTTGGTTTTAGCAACCACTGGGATATTTGAGGGAGAAAAATATTCTACTCAATTCGGAAGCAGGACGTATTTTGTGTTTCAATAAACACCAAAGGTCAGTATTTCCACAGTCTAGTGGAAGGGAAAAGGAAAGTAGTAGCAGATAGTTGAAGATGCATACAATGGTCGCATCATCTAACTTTGTACAGACAATGATCTTGTTGATCATCAGATATGATATTTAAAAAACACATACTTTTATCCTTTGAACAGCTCAATAAAGCTCAATGAAAAATAATCAACAAGAAGAAGAAGTTAAATCAGTGAACAATGTAGCTTGTAATCAATACTTTTGAATACTGTTCTTCCATCAATTTTAGCTACAATAACGAATAGAAGACTTGGACGGATTATAAATGAACCAAGTCAGAGGAGAAATATATCTGCATATCTATAATGAAATTTGTTATACAAACTCATGGTTAACTTCCACTACAAAAAATGAGAAATTCTATTTTGAAATCAATACACGTTTCGTTATCGTGTTTTTTAATGAAATAACATTGCGATGGTAATTTTCTCCTATGAAAATTATGTTTGGCACAACTAGTCCAGCAGCAAGAAATGCTTATACTTAGTAACTGCACAGGGTAGCCACGTAGCATGTCATCCACTAACTGAAAGCCTCATTAATGAATCGATCAATGAACATAAAAAGGAGAAGTTCAAACTTTCAAAGGATTGGTGTTGTTGATGTAAAAAAAAAAAGAAGTGTGGACTAAAAATTGCCCTTACAATTTCCCTTCAAAACAATCTGTATACTAAATAGAAATTATATATTCATACCTTGTTATATGGTTGTGGCCGTTGATTCTTCATAGAATACCTAACAGGACGATCATTAAAACGCCCTGAAGAAAAATTCTGTTGGTTTGGAAAGTTAGGTCCAGGTCCAGAAAAGTTATTTCCAAGGCTGAGAAGTGATGGTACTTGCTGTAAATATAACATATTATTTATGATATGTAATAACATAAAAATTGTAATATATTATGATTAAAATTTGTTTACCTGTGGTTGTACTTCTTGCTGACTGCGAAGCAAATTTGTAAGAAGATTGCTAGCTATCGCTAACTGTGCTTGTGGTGATGTTAAAGACAAATTATTATTAGGCGTTGGTAAAATTCCTCTACCAGGCATCATTCCTCCTTCCCAAGGATTCATTCCACCGCTTCCACCACTACCTCCACCCCCTCCTCCTCCTCCTCCTCCTCCGCCCATTCCACCACCCATATTGCCAGACATACCTCCTCCACTTCCTCCCATGTTACCAACCCTTCCTCCACCACCACCGCCACCACCTCCTCCTCTGTTATTAAAGTTTCGATTCCCAAAGGAATCACGTTTTATTCCTCGCGACATTGACCTAAAAACATATGTATAAGAAATGTTATAATAATATAAAATATTACATTATAATTATAGTATATTATTTTTATATATTGGTTTAAATATGATTTATTTATTTACAGTAAAAACTGTGGTGGTTTTGTTTCTTTGAGTATAACTAAAGTATTTACTAAAAATTACATTGCTTCACTACATAATCTCATGTTTCTAGAGTACACATTTTTAATTTATAAATGGAGTCTGAAAGGACGTCTATTTCCGATATGAGAAGTTAGATAATTTATAATAACTTAACAAGTTGAGCTTCTACGTAAAAAATAAGAAATCACAATTATATATATGATATTTTAGATAAACATGAAAATAAATATTATACATATAATACAGAAATTAATTATTTCAGATTTTTTCGGTTAATGTTTTACATACCAAACGACGCCGTACAATGTGACTATTTGCTAAATTTCAAAAACGTTCATTATCGTATAAATTTCCATTCATTTCAAACTCTTATAATCTATATTGTACGTACAATTTTTAATATAAAATCTCTATCACAAGCTGATTAAAAAAATACGTAAGTACATACCTCAAAAGCAGCAAATCCAACCACAGCTCAAGAAAAGGAGGCAAAATGGAAATCTCAACGAAATGGAGTCATCAAGCGTCTACCATGAACTAGAACATTAAAAGCAGTGTTTAAAATGGCCGATGTCAGACACAATTGCGGTTTCTGATTGGTTAATACTATAGTCTTAGAAATATACGCAAAAATTGTTTTATTTCCTTTCATTCATGTAATATGCTACGTAAAATATATAAAAAAATATTTGAATGATGTTATAAAGAAAATTTATTACATATTTCTCCAATATTATACAAATGAATTGCAATAATTAATTTCTATGTACCAACTAATTTTAAACGAATAAATTTTTCTTTATTACAAATAGTAATATAATTAATTAAAATAAATTAAATAACTCTTACATCCTTAAATTATTAAATTATATGTATTATGTTATTAAATTTATTAATTTAAAATTACTTTAAGTTTATTTGCTTTTAATGAAAATACTTCTAAAATTTTTCTACCAACAACATATACAGGTAATGGTATTACACGTGCAATTGGCGTGTAGACAAATTGTAACTTTTTTATTATTTACAACTTAATGTTTATAAATTAAAGCTTTTACATATCATTAATAAATTTGTTATCATTTTATTAAGGTATTTATAATCTATTATAGTTACATAAAAAAATTATGTATATCACGTAGTCATTTTTTTTGTTGAACAGTACCGGTACTACCCGGTGTTTATAAAATAAAGTTATGAAGTTTATTAAACGTTATCTTATACTTTTAGGAATTAATTTTTACATTTAATGCAGAAGCATAATGTCAAATCAAAGATCAGTTTCTTGTGGTCTTGATTTTTGTGCAGTACCAGACTTGAGTAATTGCCTTTTCACAGCAAATTCATCAAAGTAAGTATAAAATTATGGTATACATTTTGTTTCCCTTTTTAATACTATTATTATTGATTGCACTTATAGATATGAGTTTATATGTGTTCCACTTGTTCATCCGTTGTTTAAAAGAGAATTTGTTTCTGGGCATGCAAAAAACCGTATTGGTCCATTTACTAGACCAGACATAGTTTTATGTAGTTCTGGTAAGTATGTAAAAAAATTAAGAAGTTACAGTAAAATTAATATTATTGTCTCATTTATAGATTGGAATACCTTAATTATTGGTAAATTATCACCATACATTAAAGTTGATTCAAAAAATTCTAGTTTAAGAAAAAACAGTGAGGAAACTTTAAAGCAGGAATTAGCATTGGCAAACCATTTGGGTCTTGTAGGAGTTACTTTTAAATTGACAAAAGGAATAAAAGAAAATGCAAATCTTAGCCGAATTATATGTAGTGAACTTTCAAGCATGTGTAGTTTACAGGTATACTGATTCATAAATTAAATTTATCATATGCTGTAACATGTAGTTCTCTTAATTTCTTTGCAGGTTTGGGTTCAAATACCTATGGAAAATCCAGTTAAACAAGCTTATTCTTACAGAGAAGAAGATTGTGATACAGTAGAAAGTCCATGGGAATGGTGGAATGCCTTCAGAATAGTTTGTGATTATAATAGAAAATTAGGTGTTGCATTAATTGTAAGCCACGATCTTCCTGATCAAGATGAGGTATTTAAGAAATTGTTGTTTTCTGTGTATGTTGCTAATAACATGAAAACTGAAATGAAATAAAGTCAATTTTATTACAAGATTGATAGGTGGTTAGGAGAACCAGTAAAATGTTTGATTTTTCCAACAACATTATTTATCACAAATAAAAAAGGATATCCTGTATTAAGTAAAGCACATCAAGCATTAGTGAAAAAATTTGCCTTCCTAGAAGTACAATTTGTACTTACAGGACAAAGTCGATATCAAAGTATTACTTACTATCATAATTATTTGGAATACTTATGGAAGGTGAAATTTTATATGCATTTAATTTCAATTTTCTAGTAATGATTTTCTTCAAATATTAGATTTAATTCTAATAATTTTATACAGAAGTACGAAGTAGATGGCCCAGTTGAAAGATATGCTCGGGGCTATGAAGATTATCTGCAGTGTCCTTTGCAACCACTCATGAACAATCTTGAATCTCAAACATATGAAGTATTTGAAAAAGATCCTATTAAGTATACAGAATATCAAACTGCTATTTATCAAGCAATTTCTGCTGTTATAGAAAAAATAGAAGACAAACAAAGAGAAATGTATTAAATACAATATAATTACTATTAAAAAAATGAGTTATTATGACTTAAAAGAATATAATTTTATTTTAATTTTTAGAATAATAATGGTAGTTGGTGCTGGAAGAGGACCACTTGTCTGTGCATCTTTGAATGCAGGAAAAAGAGCAAATCATCCAGTTAAAATATATGCTGTGGAAAAGAATCCTAATGCTGTATTAACGTAAGATTTAATAATTGTAAATCTTTATATATATTATATAGAGATATATTTTTCTTATTTTTATGTATATAGTTTACAAGCACTAGAAAAAGATATGTGGGAAAATAAAGTAACAGTGGTGTCTTGTGATATGAGGGAATGGAATCCACCTGAAAATGCTGATATTGTGGTATCAGAGTTACTTGGTTCTTTTGGTGATAATGAACTATCTCCAGAGTGTTTAGATGGAATTCAACGATTTTTGAAAGGTATTATTTTATGTTATAAATATTGTTAATGAAATATTTTACAAGTTATTGTTATGAATTGTTGAATATTATTTTATATCAGATGATGGCATATGTATACCAGCCTCATACACATCATATATTGCACCTGTACAGTCATCTAAATTGTACAATGAAGTAAGAAGGTGCAGAGATAAAGACAAACATTCATTAGCTCATTTTGAGACTTCATATATAGTTCACTTTCAAAATAAATATGACATAGCAAAACCACAACCATTATTTACTTTCAAACATCCAAATAAGGGTTAGTATAAATAATATTTGTATATCCTGCCTCTACCTAATGTGTATTTTTCAAATATTGTTATATTTTCAGAAAGTGTTATTGATAATTCAAGATATGATACAAAGGTATTTAAAGTACAACAAAATTGTGTATTACATGGTTTTTCTGGCTATTTTGATACTGTTTTATTCAACAATGTTACACTAAGTATAAAACCTAGCACACGTAGCCCTGGAATGTTCAGCTGGTTTCCTATTTTTTTCCCAATTAGGGTAAGGAAAGCTTAAGTTAGCATATTTCAGAAAAACACAGTACAAAAATACAATATGGTTTATTGTCGTAGGAACCAGTACAGTTAAAAGCTGGGGACCAAATAGTTGTTCATTTTTGGCGTCAGTGTAACTCTAAAAATGTGTGGTATGAATGGTGTATTAGCGAACCTATTCCTGGACCTATTCATAATCCTGGTGGCCGTTCTTGTACTATAGGTTTATGATTTAATTTTAATTTCTGTGATTTAACTATTTAAAAAAATCTAATGTTATAATATCTTTATAATAAAACTATAACAAATATTCTGTTACATTTCGTTTTTAATAAGAGACATTCAGCATACAATTTTATAAATATTTTTGTATTAGATTCAATATTATAGATTAAATATACAAATTACCTAAACAAAAGTTTCGGATTTTGGTTAGCATCAGAATTTATTATATTAGATACAAAAATAAATTCGTAAAGATAGATATAGAATATTGTTTTACACTTTTGTTTGTGAATTATTCACATTAAATACCGAGGTCACTAATATTGTACAACTTCGATAACATAAATTATGTTATCTGTCGACCATGTTTCTACCGACCTTTTGACCTCACGTGATCATATGCAGGACTTCGATAATATGAATTACGTCTTTTATAAAATTAATAAAAGTCTCCTACTTCCAAGTTAAAAATAGACATTGTTTACATCATTATAATTAAGAAATCAAAATTTGTTTATTTTCTATATGATACATATCAATCATATATAGTAATAAATTAGTGTTAAATTAGAAACAATGCTTTTAGATTTGATATTACATATTCAGTTATTTGATTTGCAATAGAATAGCATGATGATGAAATATATATTATGCGATAAGAATTTTTGATAATCTAAGTACATATGTTACTTCATAGAAATATTTCAATTCGTTCAAATCGTGCGTTTTATTCATATTAAACTCTGTTGGCACTACGGGAACTTAATGAATTTAGTCGAAAGCGAAACGTTACACGCGAAACGTGTTAAATAAGGTTAAGCTTCTCGATTGTTTTAAAATTAAAAGAACATAACTCAACATGGCAAAAGTAATTGCACAAATGACAAAATATACAGTGAGAACATTTCCACGTACATCGAGAGAAAGCTTATTTTCTCTTTCTGCTTCAAAAACATCATTAAATTTTTCACGTTCCATCTCTGGTACTCGTTGCTTAAATGCCGGTAAGTTTAAAACAGTTTTTCTAAAAGTTTAACAAAAATTACATATTTCTAATAATATATTTAAACAACAGAATTTGAATGTTAATATTTATTTTTATTCAGTGTTAGTTAATTAATACAACATAATAAAAGAATGTTGTATTACATATATACTTTAAATACTGTTGAATATAATTTATAACTTAGTTACATATAATATATAAACAAATATTTTTACAAAAAATTAGAGTTAATTCGAAATTAAAATGTTGTTAGTTTATAACAAACTTAATTTGTTTAATATAACTCTCTTCATTGATTTTCGAAAGGTTATTAGATGCTTTTTTTACATTTAAAGATTATAAATAAAATTTTCAGAAAGATTATACACAGAAAAACATGAATGGATAACAGTTGATGGTAACATAGGGATAGTTGGAATATCCAATCATGCACAAGAAGCATTAGGTGATATTGTTTATGCTCAGCTTCCAGATGTTGGATCTTTAATAGAAAAAGAAGGTCATCATATTTATCTAATATATTCCTTAACATAAAAATTAAATTTTTAGTCTCTATGTCTGATTAAAAATAATATTTTACAGTTGAATGTGGAGCATTAGAATCTGTGAAAGCTGCTTCCGAATTATATAGCCCTGTCAGTGGAAAGATAATAGAAAAAAATGATACACTTGAAAAAACACCCAATATAATTAATACTTCCTGTTATGAAAAAGGATGGTTATTTAAAATAGAATTAAGTAATCCTGATGACTTAAAAGGTCTAATGAATGAGGAAGCATATAATTTATATTTGAAGTCTGATCAATCATAAATATGTTACATTTTAAATACGTGTAAAATTAGTTAGTAATATTTTAACTTTTTATTGTTTGCAATTGTTTGTTATTGTTGAAAAATAAGAATCAACATTTTTATTTATTTTAATACTTCTAGCAATCATGCATGATTTTATGTTAGTATTCAGTGCCATATTATATCAATCAGATGTGAAATCTGTATAATTTGCAATTAACTATCTCATAAAGTAAGAAGATAATGTTTCCAAGAAAACAAATTTATAAGTTATGTAATTATATAATGTTAATATATTATATTATTGTAACTATAAAAAAAATTTTTTTAAACCATAAAGAAAGGTACAATTTTATGCATAAGATTAGGCAATTTTAATGAAATAAATGTAGTGTAATATGTAAACATTGTGAATTAAGAATATGAAGCTATGTGCAGTAGTTAGCTGATGTCTTTATTAACCACTGTGCATTTTCTTATCTTGTTACCATATTTGTACAAAGCAAACAAATGTTTTAATATACATGTTATTCGGTATACGAATGACACCATTGTTACAAATTATAATAAACTTTGTGTTGTACATAAACGCATTTAAATTATAATAACTTGTATATATAAAGAAACAATTGAATGTCTTGAAATACTATTTGTAAATTTCTGAAAATTGTCTGCTTAATAATTTACATAGTACCATCCTTTACCCTCCTTTTGAAATCTATCATACGTCTCATGGTCATTGCACATATTTTTACAATAATACCAAAGACAGGAGTGCAATAAGGGAAATATTATCATTTAATAGGAGTTCAATTAGTATAATATATAAAAATAGCGCTGTCAATCCTAAAAAGGAACAGTTATCAGTTAATAATAAAGATATATTTACAATCAATCATTTTTTTCTACATAATTTACAATTGCCAACTCCTAATGGCAGTGTTAACAACGCATAATAGTTCATTTAATGTTAATTCCAATTATTTATTGGATCAAAAAATCACATCGATATTAAATTAGATCGTTTGCCAATTATAATTGGTAACTGTACATATTTAACACAATGCTTATAACACCACTATTATCATATTTCCTAATTACAATTATTAATAAACACTTTATAACAGAATCGAGCGGACGATTAAATAGGATGGACACATACAAAGATCATCGATTTTGGGACATATTTAGAAGAGACAATTTTCATTTTTGAAATAGTTATTTTTGCGATTTTTGTAAATTGTTCCAAAATTATCAGACCGACACGTTCTACAAGAAGTCTTGAAGATAAATGAAAGTACAATAAATAAAATATTATTTGATTTTACCCAAACAGCAACAAGATTAAACGTGGTTTTAGAGACTTCATTAATAGATATTAAATTTCGACTCGAATATATCGTACATATCATATAGAAGTATAATCTAATTTGGAATAAACATAATAATAACTAAAATAGTTAACATGGAAATATAACGGGTACAATACTTGAATGGAACTTTTATGTTCTGTCGATACGCATATTACAGAAGATGTAGACTTTAACGTCTACATAGGTAACATTCATACATTCCATTTAATTTGCTATCTGGGTGTCTATTCTGAGGTATGTGGTTTACTAAAAATGTAAAAATGTAAGACTTAATACAGTTACAAAGAGGTAGACATTTATATGCGAGTTAAATAAAGGTAATCCATTTTGAAAATATTATTAAAGAGCCAATAATAATAATAACAATGCAAACTATTTTTTTTTTTTTTTTAATCAATCAATTAAAAGAACCAGGCGATTTGAAAATTTGGGAACATGTCAATATATGCTTTGCATTTATATCGAAGATTTCAAAAATTTTACCATGGACACAAATCTTTACTCACACGATAAGTACATGCAAGCTTTTGAAAATATATATTCTTATATATACATACATACATATATACATACATACATATATACATACATACATATATACATACATATACATATATATATACATATACATATACATATATATATACATATACATATACATATATATATATATACATATATATTTCTTCATGGTAGTAATACTCGCAGCTACTCCTCCTGATTTGATTCAACACTCGATTCTTAATCTAATGTGGCATCGAGTTTTCTTTTTACATACATCAACAAATCGTTTAAATCTATATTTAATATCTTATATCGAAGTCGGTGGAAAAGTGAAAGTAGTAAAATAGCATTTTTCCCAGGTACTTCTTTGATAGAGGATATAAACAGTAGGAGTTGCAAAGGGTGGTACTACCAGCCTACCAGTACGAGCAAAGATTTCTGTTCCTGTTGCCACACTTGAGCCTCGAATCTAGCACGTGTAATTACCGATGGCTTAGATACCACAGGCGTCGAAAAGACAACCTTCACAGCACTGAAAAGTTTCTGACTATTGACTAAACAATAATAATCTATTAGTGAAAAATTACTACGTTCGATCGCTATCTTAACATTCAGTAAATATTTATCTATTTAACAACTGCGATAAGACAATATTGATCTTATGTACTTAGTATTAATCGCTAGATAATGTAGGACCACATAAACCTTGCTCCAATGATTCTTTTATTTCTTAAACAGAATCTTTATTATGATACAATATACAATAATAAAATATCGCAATTTGTGGTTATTCTTTTCCGCCACCTATTTGAAAAATAATAAAGAGAAATACATGAATAAAACTCTAAAATTAGTGAAGACATTAAGTAGCTAATGATTTTTTCTCAGTAAGCAACAGAAATATATTTATTTCATTAAACTATACACAAAATATTATAATTACATATTTAACATGATTCATACTTTACAACGTAATTGGAATGTGTTATCTAGTATTTACAATATAGTAGCCCTGCTGTGTGCAAGTGTGACAAAATGCAGATTTTTCATAGGAAGTTCTAAGGATGCCCAGGTGGCCGTGCGACATATATGTATATATGTATATATAAGTATATCACATGAAATTTTACTGCTCGTTCAAGAATGCCCATTGAATCCCTTGCAGAAGCACGATTGACTGGAGAGTCGACAATTTCTTTCGTTCATTACTATTAGGATTATCTTTTTGTTAAAATGAGAGCAAGGCTTCAGTGGTATATGCTTAAAAATAATCGCTTCTAGTATTAGAAAAATAGCTTTACTTATTTAGATAAAAGTTGCCTGCCCTTTGACCAATATTTTGTTAACCACCCTTTGTACTGTTTTCAAGGCATCTTGCTTACTGTTTCCCTGCGCTTATACCCACCAACAGGGGTAATAATTCTCCATGGATACATCTCTAAAACTTCAACATCAAATATAGAAAATATATGTCATTATGTTTATATATTTAGATACACTTTATAATACATATATTATGTATATATGTAAAGTATGTACGTCTATACTTGATTTGTTTGCATAGGTATTCTTTGAACCAGGGCCCCTTAACTTGGTCCAATACCTAAGCAGCATTAGCTCTTAATAGGTACTTGAGGTCCACTCTGACAATAAGGGGCTCTATCTTGATTTTTGAAATATAGTAATAGACTAACTCATGGCAAAAGTGCCAAACGAATCTATCGTTTCATTTTCTCTTAGCATGAAGCATTTCCATGAGAAGAGTTTGAGTTGGTGCTCCACCGCTACAATGCTTCTGATAAAGATGATCTTCTCCCCTGCTCGCTACCACATGGATTTCTGGTAATACTGCTAGCAGCTTGTTAAACTTATCCTGTTATATATAAAATTTAATGTACATTTGTTGAATTGTACAGGAAACTATTAGGCTTGTAAAAAGGTAAATATCTTTATACATATGAAATAAACATACCGGTATAGAAGGATAACATGTCAATGTGTAATCCAAAAGAGCTTGTTGAACTTGTTCATGACCTTCTTGTACATGTTTCTTGTTAACTAATCCACGAACTTCTGTATATTTAAATAAAAAATAATACATTAAATTCAATTTTATTTAATGATAATAAAATCTGGTATATAAATATAAGGAAAATCTAAAAAAGAAGACATACCATGATTGAGCAGCATCAAGAATTTCATGCATATATAATCCGAAAGATCAAATTTGAGTTCCTGAAGTTTGGATGATAAATCATTGAAAAGGTCTGCCAAGGAAGGAACTCCAAGTAGGCCGAGGCAAAGGAGATCAAACTTTTGGCCATTATGAAGTGTAGTCTCATCAGGTAGATTATTGTGTAACCTTTGATGAAGATGGTCGAGCACCAACATATCCGACCAGGAGTGCTGTAGCAACTTCATTTGGTCATCAACCTGCTCAAAAGAACGTTATAAGTTGTATATATATGTATATACATATATGCACACGCGCGCGCGCGCGTATCTGTATATATAGTAAGTCAAATTTAAAAACATACAAATTTTTAAATGAATTTTCTTTTATTCAATATTTATCGAAGTATCGAAAATAAAAAGTAATGTAATTAATGTAATTTTTAAATACGAAATTTAATATATATAATTTGTTTTTGCAACGCGAAGTATCATTGTTTATCGAAAAGAAACGTATTTTACTTTTCATGAAATACAATTTAATAACCCGCAAAATCTTTATATCCGTGCTCCATATTGTTCGTAAAATACAAAACCGTGACTTCAGATACTGACAAAATTACGACTGAACGTTTTGCAAATTTATAAAGACAAAAGCAATAAAAACTATATAATCAGTTAAGTAAACGATTTATAATTAATATGGGCCTGCTTTAGAGCAACCGCCATAACCCAGAAACGTATCTTGTTATGACCTAGATATGAGGCGATGCTTGAAATCATTCAGTGATTGTGCAATGCTGTTGGTTACCTCACATCCCCGCTCATACCACCAACAGGCCAGCGAGGAGTTATTTATCGGTAAGAACTAACTTCTCTTGAAAAAGATTCTCGACGATGGTTAAAATCATTAAATTTCAATATACGCCCTCCATGCCACAGCTACCGGTCAATCTAACGTACTCAAAAATAACAGTCAACAGTCAAGTCAATAACTATATGGTTTATGCGCAGAGACTAAGTCCATAATCGAGAAAGGAAACTCGCGTGCGAAAAAAGATTCGCCCCTTATTGAAACAGTAACGCATCACTATATATTATGTATACACTTTCTATATACCGATGACATTTTCCGATAGATTCGTGTTTATTACGTGGCACTGCGTTATACGCTTACACGATAATATATTTAAAGCAACATTGACACCAACCTTGAGATCCTTGAAGAATACAGAATTCCTTGCCCAGTCCACCTGCGAGAACAGATTCTGATCGAGCACTTTGCACATTAATTCGAACAAGTCCACTTCACACTGATTGTACGTTTGGTTTTGCAACAGTCCAAAAAGAGATGCCTGCCACTCGCGATCATCGACCGTTTGTACGAAGTCTCTTATCATCGGACTAGTTTTCAAAGCGGCGGTAGAGGGTGCGGAACCAGCGGCCCCATGAGGTTGCGTGGACTGTTCGCCGAAGTTGAAGGCCTTCGGGCTGGGGGTGGTGGAATTGGCAGCCCACAGCTTGCTATCCAGGCCAGGGTTGAGGTTGTGCAGGTGATTACCGCCAGAAATGTTTAACTGGGAGGACGGTGCGATCAGTTGATGCTGACCAGCTCCACCGCCAGCTTGTGTCGTGACCAGACCAGCGGCCACGGCTGCGGGGGATGGACTCGAATCTGGAGAAGACGTTAGACTCGAGACCTGAGGTATTTGTATCTCCTGTTTAATATGCAGGAAAGGCGTTACGGCGGAGGGATAGTTCGATGGGTCACCGAGGCTTCCGCGTATCGTTTGCAGTGCCAGCTGCCGTTGTCTTAACATTTGCAGTTTTCGCGCTCGGTCTCTCTTGTACATAGGTCCAAATTTGTTCCTACCACCTCTCATCCTGTCCGCTCGCACGGCTATAACAGAAGCAAACGTACAAAATATTGAAATTACAAGTATCACTGTTCTACTTGGGACACATATGTATCTGAAAGACGAATCTTAAGATTACTCGAGCTTTTTCAAACAGTCGATAAACCAGGTCTCCCATTTTACCACCTGTTCGTTTTTAGTGCACTCTTCTTTTCTTGTTTTAAACGGTTAATTCTCGGTTTGAATATGATATTATTTTTATCTCTAATCGTCGGATAGATCAGTGTGACGTTTGGTGATTTAATTCGATAATGAAATGAAACAATTTTCTGTGTACAGATTTAAGGACATTCGAGGAAGATGGCAAACTGTGTTTAAATTTAGTCGAATAGGACAAAGCGTGAACGCGATTTGTGACTATCCTCATTCTACGTCTCTCGCGAACATGTCTACTCTTTCCACGTAAACGAGCAGCTACGTGTAAAACATGATTCTCCACCTACGAAAGTTACAGGTGTTATTTGGCACGTTGAAAGCGTCATTATTGAAAGCGAACGTCGCGGCTTGCCAACGTCGATTATTTATTGCTCGCAATTAATTACAGAGGACAATCTGTCGATATTCTTCCTTTGGGCGTTACTTTCACGATATAAATATTCATTTAAAAAAATATATACATATATGTATATACCTTCGGAACTTTGCTACGCAATAACCTGATGATAATAAAATTCCTTGATACGCAACGAAGAACAAAATTTCCAAATGCTTTCATACAAAGCGGATCTTTGGTGCGACCCAGTTGGATATTTACGCTCGAAACTAAGTATTACTGCATCTCCGAGTTAAGATTCACATTGTAAACAACAGATCCCCAGATGTGTGGTCTCGGGGCCGGAAGTGGCCTAGCAGAGGAACTCGATATGGATCCCCCTTGCCAGCGAGGGATTAAAATGTTCCTTTACCAGACGCGGCGCATTAAGGAACCAGTCCTTTCGAACCGGTAAACGTTTTATGAACTTTTGTTTACGCCGCAGAAGAAAAAGGAGGACAAAGTATCTTTTCAAAACGATACGACGGAAATTGGATCTCTAAAAACTGAAATTTCTTTCTCTCGGACTTCTACAGTATGAATTAAAGAAGAATGAGAATAAAAATGGAAACGAACGACGGTATAATGAGAAGGAGAGAGAAAAAGAATACAAAATAAAATGGAAAAAAAAAAAAAAAAACAAAGCCTCGCGCCATAAAAGGTGGCCGTTCATCCATGTGCATCGCAACGGAGAAGAGTTCGTCGCGGTGTGGCAACGTTTCCCGAGAAGAGGTCGTGTGCTCGATGACGACTCTCCGCGATCCTCAGGGTCACGGTGCAATCGAGGGAGGATTTCGAGCAGCTTTAACGATTTATAGGGCGGACACGCGGTTAAATCGGCGGCGTTGCCTATTTTCGTACGAAGTGTTTGCTATCCGTCGTCGCATGAAACACCGGCGAACACGAACAAGCGAGCGAGTGAGCGAGTGAGCGAGCGAGCGAGCGAGCGAGCAAGCGCGGTGCGCGCTCGTTGAAAGTGAAAGGAGGTTGAATCGCTTGCCCGTCCACTTCTGCCTCTGAGCCGGCCTGCCGAGGGAGGAGGGCCGCCCCTCTGCCCCCTACCCTAACCCATACACACGCCATCCGTGTCGGATACCGTCCGACACCCCGCCGCCTCCTAACCCTACTTATTCCCTTCCCTCGACCCTACTCTCTACCCCCCTCTGAACACCTCGCCACCCGTCGATCCACATTGCCGCCTCCGCCACCCTGTGTGTGCGCGACCACTTACGCCTCCTCTCTTTTTCTCTTCTTTCTTTCGTCTCTCATTCTCAACGATTCCCTTTGCCTCCTCCTTTTTCGCTACACCATGCTGTGTTTCTATCTCTTTTCTTCTCCCGCTCCAAACCACCACCTTTTCGCCTTTCCTTCGTCGATTCCCTGCCTTTTTCGATATACTCCCGTTCCTGATCTTTCCCGACGCTCCTCGTCCCTGTGAACTCTGCATAATGCGGCTACGCACCGCCGTAACATCTGCGAGCACGAGCAACGGTGTGTCGTCGTAGTCCCTTCTCGTATTATTCGACCCATTTCTTCGATTCCTCGTGTATCTATTCTCGATATTCGTACGCTGAAAATCCACGTTTCAGAATCTGGATCACATATAGCTATACATCGATACGAAGAAAGATATGCGTTAATTGTCTTTGTTAGAAATAAATATACTCGATAATTATTTACCGGAAAGATAATTTCAGTGCATGGTCTATGAGCTAGAATTCCATAGTCGTTCACGATGGATCACCGCGTAAACTTGACACTCGGGCGCGCGCATTCGTTTTCCGAACTTTCCTGCCGTCAGTTCTGACGAATACTATGCAAAGCGAACGTCATCCATCATCCAAGGATTACGCGAACGTACTCGTATACTCGCGCGCCCGCCTCTCCTCCTTGTCGTCTCTGCTCCTATCCGCGACACTCTCTTTTCTCTCTTTCTGCAACATACGTGACCGACTCGCTGAGAATTCAGACAATAGCCGGGGGAGCAAGCCAATAACGAAAGTTGCTAAACTTGACTTTCAGGTTGTTGCTTTCGGCCACTTGTTCTCGATTGCTCGCTTAATGCTACGCAACGCCACCATCGGCTCTGTCTCGCTGACTTATTTAACACGTGTAAAGCTACCTTACGGCGTATCTTTTCTCGATCCTCCATTTTCTCAGTCCCGTTCCCTTTCTTTCTTCTTCGCTTCATTTCGGCTATCTTTCAACTCATATTCAACCTTCAAACATGTTTCGGTGTTTATTTTAATTTCAAGTATAGAAAAATTCGCGTGTCAGACTGGATATTGATCTTACGTGATTCGATTTTCTCGTCCACGTTCACCCTGTCTTGCATATCCATTGTAAACGCAGAGCATGGGGAGAGGTTGGAAGGGTCCAAAGATCGGCGTAGATCACGGCTAAACTTGACTCTCGGTCCAGCAAGGTTTCTTTTCTTTCTCCTTATTGCCATCCTACGTTTACGATCATTCCCGCGGTCTTTCTTCTCTCGTGGTTTCACTGAGCCTCGTAGGTGTTACGCGCTGTCAGGCATACATCTTTCCATCTTTAATTTAACGCCAGGTGCATCGAGTGCTTGGAAATCTTCATGTCGATATCTCTGCTGAAACGAAACCTGCATCCCAAGTGATGGAGACGTCGAGCGACGGATTCATCTGGTAACATATCCCTTCGGTTGCCTACGAGTGACGGCGGCCATGCTACACGGATTCACGCGACACAAGAAAGGCGCTGTCGGAGGTCACGCTTCATTTAACGAATCCTAGATGTCCTACCACGTCGATGCTAATATCGATAATATCGATTTTTACATCGAAGCGTTACCATCCACACGCATGCGCAATTTTTATCCGTCGCCATGTTCAAGCCAATATGGTGCCCCGAAAACGAAGGGTTCAGATTCGATTATACCTTTTCATCCCGGAAACGTACCCTTCCTAAACGAACTGTCGACTAATTCTAAGCACGTGTTGTACGTGTTTTCCGCATTTTTGCTGAACAACCGAACCGTGAACGTGTACGGAGATCCAACAGTGTTACCCGTGACGGTGTTCTCCGAGTGGGTGGCGGCGTTTCGCGTGGGCAGGAGACATTAGCGTATCGATATACGGCACGATTTGATCGGGCCCGATCGTCAAATATACATGCCACGCCGTGACGTTGATGGTATTTACGAGTCGAATTCCGGGGCACCCAGTGGGTCGGAACCCGCGGAAACGCGCGATCAGACTGGAGGAACACTGGCCCCGTGTCTCGACGAAGTAGCAACCGGAAGTTCGAACAGGACGTGCGGAATTGCATCGTTATGGCGTCGAGTTTCGCGGCGGCTCTCGATTCCATTATGCGGTATAGAATTATCGATAAATTTCACCGGTCGGCAACAATGGGAGCTTTTGTGATGTAAAACGACAATATACACGGCCCTGCCATCTATCCTATCGTTCAGAGCCTTCTCTTCCTCTGTTCTGCCACGATCGAAATTCCGTGAGATATCCATAAGATGTAAATGTAGCGGGAGTCTTCCG